TTGAAAGAGCAGACACCGCTAGCACCTGGGGAGGGCTCCATCTAAAGCAGCTCATCTCTGGTCTTTGCTGTGTGTCCTCTTGGGAGAAAGAGTAGCACGCGCAGAATCGCTGGAAGCTTGCTCTCGACCTTTGTATGCTGAGGCCATAGGTCGTATTCATCATTACTCAGATACCGCAGTCGGTTATGACGACCTTCTTGCCCTCCCTACGCCTACGGAGGGAACACAATCAGTCTGCTACTAGCGTCATCAAACCGAATAGAACGCTGTATCTAGTCTGAAAGTTGCCTCAAATGCAGCTATAATGACTGGGTGTTGTATTCGGGTGAGACGGCAGCCACAAGAAGATCGGGCTAAAGTTAGCATCCGTCTGTCTCAGGGAAAAAAAAAAAAAAAAAAAAAAAAAGGCATGCTTCTGTCTCCAGTGCCACATGTCCCAGACTTGTGATAGCCTGGATTTTCTGTATAAATTTCATATGGGACGCTGGGCCCGGTTCCCAGCACGTGCTGCTCCCCACGAGTAGATTGGAGCCTTGTTTCCCCCCCGTCAAAAAAAAAAAAAAAAAAAAAAAAAAGTGGATTGGTTGGGGGTGTTGGTTGGGACATGGAAAGTTTAAGCCGCCAGTACACAGCCCCAGCGTTGATTAAAATGTTTTGTCGCCTACTCCGAACTTTTCTGAACCTCGGGCCTCTACCAAATGGCACTGGCCCGAGGTGCCAGCCAAAAAAGAAAAGAAGTGCACCGCTGGCAGCGCCTCCACGCCCCGGTGCGCTGGTGGTTTAAGAGCGTGCTTCAGTTGGGAGTTTTGTTGATGTATGTGGTCAGCATGACAGCCAGATTCCGTTCTCGAAGTCTTTCTGTGCGCCTAAAGATCGGTAGAGCTTTTGAGGGAATGGAAAATAGAAATCAAATCATCTATCAAACAAGTGTGAAACAACCGAGCCTTCAGTTCACACAAACACACACACACACACACACGCGAAAAAACAAAAACAAAAAAAGCGTCGCTGGAACGAAAGCCACTCACCATGCTTCATCTGAGTCCACGACGAGTACTGTGATGCTAGACTTGCCGCTGCGAAAGCACAAAGAGGCGAGTGGCGGTCCCAAATTAGAAAACCACCAAATGGTAAATACAAAGATGCAAAATCGTAAAAATAAAGGAAAGTAAGGAAACAAATTATAAAAGACAACAATAATATAATAATTTATTATAAAATATTAAATAACAAAATTAAATTGAATTAAGCGAAATGAAAGACTAATAAATTAATATAATACGAAAAAAGCAAAATGAAGTTATGAACACCAAACTTCAGACAAAGTGCAGCCTGATAATAAGGGCCTTGCCGCACTACTCCCAGAAATGTGCGAAACAGGGCATGTATCTTCTGCAAAAACATAGAAAGATACACCCCCCAGGGGGGTTGTCTTTTTCACAGTCCGCCAGTGGTGCGGCGATGCACTAAATTCCGGAAGCTGCTTCATCAAACTGTAATTATCTGAAGCCACTAAGGTCCTTGCTGCATTCTCAAAAAGCATCGGGCAATCTGCACGTCTCTTTGCTCAGTGCAGTACATGTGAATTTGTAATGACCATCTTCTTAGAACAATGTGCGAAGAGCACTTTTTTTGGCCTCTGTTTTATCACTACTACTGTTCTTCTTCTTCTTCTTCTTCTTCTTCTTCTTCTTCTTCTTCTTCTTCTTCTTCTTCTTCGTCTTCGTCTTCTTCTCCATCGTCTTTTGCTTCTTCTTCTTCTTCTTCTTCTTCTTCTTCTTCTTCTTCTTCTTCTTCTTCTTCTTCTTCTTCTTCTTCACTCTATTCTCTTCTCTTCTTTGTCATACTCCACTTCTTCTTGCTTCGTGATGGATGACATCCACTCATTTTTCTTACTCCACAATTTTTCTTCACGATTTTTCTTCTTTTCGCATCAAGAATTGGGCAGGATCATAACACATATGAACCCCTTCTTAAAAGATTGTCCATCTCCTGGGTAAAACAGATTCAGAAAAAACTTGAAAAATCCGAAAAAAGCTTTACAGAAGTAAGTTTTTCTGTTTAAATTTAATTATTAAAACTGAGTCTCATGAAACTTTTCTACAAGAGTCATCCTTACCATTGCAAAAGAAAATTCAAAACAAAAAAAAGAAAAAAGGGAAAAAAAAACTAATTTAGTAATTTCTATTGTTGTAGATTTCAAATTATGGAGTTCAAAAATCAAAAGGCTCAGCTGAGAGTCTCGTGAAACTTCTTAAAGAAGTGAGAGTCGTCGTTACCTTGGAATTGCGTGCATACACGACCTAATGATTTCCCCATGCTCCATCTCCACACAGCAGACATCACACTGGCCAGTCAAGCAGAAACGATTGTCAATAGTAAGGGCTCCAGCTTCCACTGCTGCCTTCAGTATATTGCTGCCTTCCTTCATGCCAGCACAACACGCCAACCAGCACAAAGAGAGAAAAGGAGAGAAGAAAGGTGAAAGGAGAGAGAGAGAGAGAGAGAGAGAGAGAGAGAGAGAGAGAGAGAGAGAGAG